TCTATTGAGTAGGGAGCAGAAGAGCAGATGAGTATCGCTCGCGGCCCCTCCCCCCACCCCTCAAATGCGTTAGCACCCACCGTCAATACGTAACAAAGTCGTTTCGCGCAATCGCCAGACTCTTCACCCAACCGCCAATCGATACGTGTCGAAAGCGTTGAGCCGAAGCTTTTTCTTTCGCCGAAGCTTTTTCTTTCTAGAGGAACACTGGGCCGCAGGTGTGAACAATGCCGAAGAAAAGTTCAAAGGTTCTGACACCCAAGGGAAAGCGCACACCTGCGACCGCGGCGCGACGATTCGCGGTAGACGATCGATTCAAATTTAGATGCTCATGTTTAAAGCGCCGAAGAATGGATGGGTGCAACAGTCTTCGTCATTCCGGGCAAATTATAGATTTTCACTGCTTATTAGTTTATGATGCTTCATTTAAGATTTTGAAAGCAATAATTGAGAATAGGGAACGTAAATCAAACCCCAAACTTGTGGTAGTATTCTTAGAGGGACGTCTGTCGGTTGGCAGTTCTCGTATGTTGTTTAATTTCTCGGCTGTTCAAGGCTACAATTCAACGAATTTTCCTGTTGGTCTCGTGATCATCAGCTTATTTTGGATGTTTCAGGTGTTAAGTTTTATGGCACGAAATGAGTCCCCATCCCAGCCAAGTAGTTCGAGTGTAAGTCAGGCCGTACAGAATGGTGTTCCGAAGCAAGTAAAAATTTCAATAAAAAGTCAGTTATTTTCTTTTAAGCGGTTGTTTTTTTCAAGGAACTATTTTAACTAGAATTTTTCAGTCATTTCTGCGAAACTCAATGCTACGGGTGGCTTCTTGAGTAAACCTGCCGATTCCTATGTTGAAGTGTCCATTGAGGGTAGCCAAAGTAGCAAGAAGACTTCCGTCAAGAAGAAGAGCAACAATCCCGAATGGGACGAATCGCTTTCGCTCCCCGTAACGGATTCTTCTGTTCTTCTCTTCCGTGTATATAGTAGAGCAAAACTATTTGACGATCCTCTGATCGCACAGGCTCAGATGAAAATTGCTGCAATACCGAAATTGGACAGTGGAGAGTGTAAGTAAATATTTTTATTCCATACAGTTAGCCAATGTTTCTTAAATTTTGCATCCTTCATGCACCAACTCGATTAGCAGTTCCCTAATAATCCTGTTTTAGTTAATCCGACCGCCATTACTATACAGCTCAATGGAAAAGACAATAACAAAGTAGGTACTCTGAAAGTGGCTTTTTCTGGTAATCTGGAGCGAAGCCGAAGAAGCGTAGGTGAGTTCTATCGTAATATACTTGTTACCAAATTACTGTATATGCCAGAGGGTTAATTTTTGTCTTATGGGCTGTCTACTGTTCCCCTTCATCGGCTATCAACTATTCCTCCATAAAGTGTTTTTCGTAACAAAATAAGAACTTTTTTTCGAAATTTACATGTATGTCGTGGCGCGGGAACATTGTGCGTTCATTTTGAATCTTTTGAAATCTGTGATTGATGTTCGATATCGATCGGTGCCGCATCGCGTGTCACTGTCACACAGCTGCTTTACATTAAGGTTCAAATGGGCGCCTAGCTGAAACCGCTGACGGTGAAGCGTCGACATCTACTGGAGCCATGGCAAGACGTACTTCGGTGAAGAATCGTGACACAATTGCCCAGTCTCAACAAGTAAGTTTTTTCAGCAACATTTAATCTACTCTCCCTTACTCAGCTTCTTTTTCGGGGGTTGTACTATGCGGTACCAAGCGCCAATAAAACCTTATCGTCGGTCAATAACTGTCCGTTATGTTTTATCAACAGCTGCTGTTTGATGCCACAGTTCGCGCTCCGAAAATTATAACAAGAATGTTGAGTTGGGTGCAAAATTCAGAATCCTCGCGGATTCGAACTAGCACTTCGTGCTTACCGGGCGACTGCTTAAAGCTTAAAGACGGTCCCCGCGACCATATGGTCTGCGAAATGCCTCCGTGCATTTGGCATCGTTGTCCGCATTCGCAGAGAATATACCACTTTTGTCACTTGAAACGGCGAGATAAAGAGCTAGAGAGCGTGATTATTGCAACCATTGCAAGCGCGATTACTTTCCGCTCTGCAAGGCAGTGGCTTACAAGCAGAATTGCTTGTGTACATAGTGTTGCCTGGAGCGTCGTAGGGTGGGGTTTCCTGTATTCCTGCCAGGAAGGTTGCATGTCAGTCCTGCTGATTGGGTTGCCGACGTCCGACAAGGACAAACTCGTCAAGGGGCCCACTGCTAAGGAGGTCCCTGTTCAGTGTTCCCAGGGTTTCTTCGCTTCGCTCTCAACCGACGAGTTACTTATGGGCTGCTGGTTCATGATGAGCACCTACTACCCGTAACATCGCGAAAATCGTCTTCAAAGATTTGTTCACCGTCTGCGACCCAGAGAAACGGGGAAGAGTAGTGAATACGTATCGAGCGGGAGAATCGTCGTACGCTGTAGCAAAAAACCGACAAATTTGGCACCAGAGAAAAGAGCTGGATACGTATCGATTCCGCTGTCTCCGCCCAAGCGATAAAACATGGGTGAGCGGATGGTGTCAGCCTTTTCGCGCAAGCTAATCGCCGTTTCTCCGGATCGATACATGGCTAGCACTTCTGGCGAAGATCCAAGCGCTCGCTCCGCCGAACCGCGTTTTGACACATATGAAGATCCCTTCGTGGGAGCATTTCTTCCTTCTATTCATCGGGGTCGTAGACTGTGAACAATGCCTTAAAATGGCACACTCGCTCCCGGAAGCGTAAGGTGGGGGTTCGATTACCTCTTGGATCTGACTTTGCCCATATTCAGCGCTCTTACAACAACTTTCGGAGCGTTACCTGTACCCTAAACTGCCCCCAACGCCCAAGGGGGGAGTAATACGACACAGCTATCTTAGCGGTCAACACGACCCCAGCGATGCGATTCCCACAGAGCAAGCGTCGTCGTCGTGCGAATCCCATAAGCGAAGGCGTTTAGGGACTCTGTCGGTTAGAGGGGAGGGGGCGTTGTATTTGACGAGAAGGTCGCGTCCCAGAACACGCAAACTTTCCTCAATTTCTAGCCAGTTTTTTCCTCTTGAAGATGGAGAGCCATTTTGATATAAGCAGCATTAAATACAGAGAGATTACGAACAGTGATAGTATCTGCAATTGTAATTTCAACTGTATATTCGACAAAGGGACTAGGCACGTCATCGCATGACATACTGCTTACTTTCAATGAATACCTATCAAATTTTTCTCCCTTCCGGCATGTAAATACATGTAAATCTGAAGGGAGAAAAATAGGTCGGTATTCGTTGGAAGCAATAGAAAATAGGTTGCTGATTTCCATTATTCTATTTTTTTGTAGGGATTAATTCCTGGTTTTCCAGCAAGCTGCAACAGAGGAACGTCTTCCAGATGGATGGGAAATGCGTTACGATCAATATGGCCGCAAATACTACGTGGATCATACAACAAAGAGTACAACATGGGAACGGCCATCCACTCAGCCACTTCCATCTGGTTGGGAGATGAGAAGGGATCCGCGTGGTCGAGTGAGTAGTACCATTTTCACTGTGTTGTGCTTGTTGTTCTTTGTTTAGCGGATTAAATTGGTGGCTAATGGGTAATACTCTCGAGTTCCATGCGAAAAGTTCCGAATTTTAAGCAGTTCGAGTGTTGCCCCGTAGTCTGCGCCGCGCCAATCGAAACGATTGGTGTCTCTTCCGTTGCTATTATCGGATTTCGGATATGTTGAACTAAACGGGGTCGTAGTGGTTCGCTCTATGTGGTGAAGTGGATAGAGAAAGAAGGCAGAGTGCGGCTAGAAGCAAACAAGTGGTGCGGTTAAATAACCGAGTTTAAGCAGTTAATGGATTTACCTTCCAGAAGAGTTATGCTCGCTAGGCTGTTGTGGAAACAGAAGAAGATTAGTTACGTTACTCAGCCTTAAACTGAGCGAAAAAGCAAAAATCTTCAAGCAAAAGCAAAAGTTCGCATCATCATGCGCTTTACTTAATAGTCTTGCATCTGTCACAGTTGTCGCAAGGCAGATTTCCTAGACATAGATGTAATTTTCCTAGACATAGATGTAATTGATAGTGGTTGAGTGGTAGTCACTACGATCGCTTTCCGCTGGATTACAGGGCTTCTGTGAACCGGACGTTTTCTCGCTGTGAGGGTGTTGAGGTAATATTTCATCACATCTTCTGGTCGGGCTTTTGGGCGGAGGAAAATAAGGAAGAGCAATGAGAGAAGGAGGGAAGGAAAGAGGATGGGGGAAGCAGCCTCGTCATTGATACATATTCTACGACCATCAGCGTTTGTGAAAGCTTCATGAACTACTGGGCGAAGCGTATCGATATATGTACGGTATGGGCTTTCTTTTGCGTAATCAAACGTTTGCGAACGTTAGAATCGTATATTCAAATGAAATGGTCGCATTGGCGCACAATACGTGACTGAGGAGACTAGATTGCGTCACCATATATTTAATCACTAAGGGTTATTTTTAGTGTAAAGCGGTTTTTCGGCAACTTTTTAGTACTAGATTTAGATCGAATAGTTTCAAACGAAATGTAATTAACTAGGCCTGGAAGGTTAGGAGGAGGGGTGGAAGGTATGCGCACACTTTTGGTGTAGTATCTTTTTGATGAGGTTTTATGTGTGCTTTCCTATTTTTATAAATTTTTCGAGCATGTTTTGTGTGTGCTTTCCTATTTTTATAATTTTTTTGAGCATGTTTCCCATGTTTCAGGTGTATTATGTTGATCATAATACTCGAACGACAACTTGGCAGAGACCAAACCGCTGATAGTGAATGACAGCACCATGAGCCAAGCTGACAGTCTGCGAAGAGTCAGAGCGCATGCACCCAATGGGAACAGCGCTTTCTTGCTTCAGGTAAGATTATTACTCTCTTTTCAAGATTGAATAAATCTCTACCAAAACGATAACAACGGAGGTGTATAGGATCGAATCTCATGTTGGCTTCATTGCTGCAGGCCATTCTGTGGTAAGGGAGAGTGGATGAGTCCTGTGGGCACCGGTGGGGGGGTGAGGGGTGGGGGGGGAGAAAAACGAGAAGTGATCCCAAGCAGGATGAGATTTACCTTTTGTTCAAATATATGACCGTGAAGTGAGAACGAGCTCAGGGAGGCTGATTCCCAGGAATCCAAGGGGCTTGGACTTCTTTCGGGAGATTTTGTTGCAACTTTATTTAGAATGCGTCAACGCTTCCCCGTTCTGAGCAGCTTATTCAGGCGGCGCCGATTCGTTCCTTAGGATTAGGGAAAGCATGGGAAGTTCGTATAGTGTTTGTGCGCTCCACAGCTGGTTTTCAGCGATTAATCAATAGCATATTATTTTCCTTTAGTCGTCAGAACGTTTGACAGCAACGCTCATAGTTCCGCGGAGGCCGATGTGATGCACTCTTATTCATACCTGTTACGTTTGTATGAGCCAGAGCATGGAGCGAACCGGATCGTGATGAATTTGCGAGCAAACTTTTCAGAAAGCCCTGATTGCGTTTAAGTTTCTTAGCGGAAAGCCCTAAGGCACTTGTCTTGTGGGTAGGGAAAGAAAATTCGATTAATACGCGACTTTTGACAAGGAATTCTGCTTCGGCGGTGCGATTGAGCAAAGCTGATGTTATTTGTGATTGCAAAAGAACATGTGGTCCTCATAGACAGAATTTATTTTGAAGGCTGTCTGGGTCTGCAGAGGTTTCGGACCAACCGTTTCGACAAGGATGGGGAGACTGGCGTGTTCACGCTGTGGGAGGGAGTTGTACCGTTGTTTGCATTGAGATCATTCTCACCTAAAGACCGACGAGGACCGGGCTACAATGACGATCCACGACACCCCGGCAACGAGTGTCCGATGTTGGACGAAGGGTGGGACGAAGCGCGTGTGTTTGGAGTGTCGATGTCATATGAAAGGACGTTCCGATGGAAAATCGCTCAGTTCCGCTATTTGTGTTTGGTACGGCCTATATGTCTTGTAGGCGCAGTTAGGCGACGGGGAGTGAGTGGGGAGGGAGGGCATTTGTCGAGCCATCAAGTGGAGACCTGCGGAATCTTTGTGAAGCCACGAACTGATACCACTCAGGGTTTGCAGAAAGCACCTGTCAACACTTGTAAAGCAATGAAATACCATACAATACTATTTATCGTGGTGGCTCAGCGATCTTGCTCTGGCTCCACAAGAGTTCGAAGTGTCGCCAGAGTGAGAACCGGAACTGGTGAAGCAGCAAAAGAGCTAAACTCTCCCCCCCCCCGTCGTCGACCAGCGCCTGTCTTGCAGCCCTGTTAAAGGGTTCCAATGTCATCGTGTTTTTTTCAGTCCAATAGCGTACCGAATCACGTAAAGATCACAGTGTCTCGCACCAATGTGTTTGAGGATTCCTACCAGGAAATTATGCGGAAGAATGCTGTTGACCTCAGGCGCAGACTGTATATACAGTTCAGAGGAGAGGAAGGACTCGATTATGGAGGGGTTGCCAGGTAGGTTTCACCCTGTGGTTCTGTTCGTAATCAGAAGTCGGTGAAAGTACCATTTATTTCTAGGGAATGGTTTTTCTTGCTCTCGCATGAGGTACTAAATCCGATGTACTGCCTATTTATGTATGCTGGTAACAGCAACTATAGCCTTCAAATCAATCCGGCTTCATTTGTAAATCCTGATCACTTGAAGTACTTTGAATATATTGGAAGATTCATTGCTATGGTTAGTTTGTTGATTTATTCACATACTGTAGTGGAGTAAATTTCCAGCTTCAGGGTACAGCAGAAATATTCCATGGTTTCTATGATGACAGCCCAAAGCGTGGGTTGTTACGAAAACAAGACTATCACCGTGTGAGAATTTTGATGGCTTGCGACGGGAACAAAAATGACTTTCCAAAATGTATCAATAGATAACACAAACACCTATTGTAAAACTTGAATTTCTCATTCTTCGTGGGAAGACTGGAGACCATCGGGCTGGAAATCCGCTATGGATTATCTACAGGGTTTTCTTTGGGGTTTTTTTTGTTGTAGTCAGTCTAT